CAGGTGTTATATCTTCTGCGATTGCATGAGAAGCTGCAATGGAGGTGTTGGGAGTGAAGGAGGAATGGACCAAGGTGTCCAAGACAGACAGTCCCTGTGGAAGGCTGACAAGGAGTCGGGGGGGGGGGGGGGGGTTGCTGGCGGGGGAGCAGTATGTGTCTAGTAGTGGAATCCCACTGGAGGTGGCAAAATTGGCAGCTAACATTCCTCTGGATGTGAATACTGGTGGGATGGTAGGTGAGGATGAGAGGCACCCTACAGCTGCTGGAGGAGAGAAGATAGGGGGTGAGGGCCGAAAAGCAGGAGATGGATTGGACATGACTGAGGGCACAGTAAACCATGGTGGTGAGGAATCCACAATTGAGGAAGGAGGTGAACATTTCAAGACAGATGCAATGGAGACAGAGGAACTGGGAGAATGGAATAGAGTCTTTAGAGGAAGCAGGGTGGGAGGATGTATAGTCAAAGTAACTGTGGGAGAGAGTGGGTTTCTAGTTGATATTGGTGGCCAGCCTATCCCCAGAAATAGAAACAGATGCCAAGAAAAGGAAGTGAGGAGTCAGAGATGGACTAGGTGAAGGGAGGGTGGGGTGGAATTTGAAAGCAAAATAGATAAACTTTTCCAATTTCGGGCGAGTGAGGGAAGGTGCACCTATGATGTCATTGATGTACAGGAGAAACAGTTGTGGGTGGGGGCCAGAATAGGACTGGAACAAGGACATGTACTGCATAAAGAGACAGGCATAACTAGGGCCTATGCAGGTACCCTTGGCCACCCCATTGATCTGAAGAAAGTAGGAGCAGTTAAAGGAGAATTTGTTCAAAGTGAGGTTGAGTTCAGCTGAGCAATGGAGGGTGGTAGTGGTTGGGGATGGTTCAGGCCCATTTTTTTCCAGGACGAAGCAGAGAGCCTAAGACCACCTTGACGGGGGATGGATGTGTAAAGGGATTGCATGTTCTCTGCTCAGATGCTGCCAGACCTACTGAGTTCTCCCAGTAATTTCTGTTTTGTTTCTGATTTCCAGCATCTGTGGTTCTTTAGGTTTTTTCATATTTAGATTATTTTAGACTGAATACTTCTCCTATTCTCTAGACTTTGTTGCCGCAGAAGGATGCCACGAAGGTTATATTGCATGGCAACAATAAACATGATATTTTTATACATCTGTTTCATAAAACTAATATAAAAATACACACTCTTCACTCAATAGATATGTTAAATTTTCTCAGGCGTGATCAGACCATGCCATCAATACCATGATACTAGGAGCAGAAGCAAGCCATTCAGCCCATCAAGTCTCCTCCACCATTCAATAAGATCATAGCTGATCTCATAATCCTCAACTCCACTTTCCTGCCTTTTCCCCATAACCTTTGATTCCTTCCCTCAGCCTTTGATTCCCTACCTAAATGACCCAGCCTCAACAGCCCTCTGCAGTAAAGAATTGCTTAGATTCACATCTCCTCATCTCTCTCCTAAATGTGCAACCCCTTACTCTGACATTACCCTCTCTGGTCCTAGACTCTCCCACAAGAAGAAGCAACCTTCCTGCATCTAACTTGTAAAGTTCCCGAAGAGTCTTGTATGTTTCAATAAGCTCACCTCTCATTTTCTGCATTCCTATCAGGTCCAACCTATTCAATCTCTCATCATAAGAGTTTTCCATACCAGGTATCAGCCTGGTGAGCCTTCTCTGTGACATGACTACAAGTCAACATGCTCAACAGGCTGTTCTTCTCTCTTCTAGGAATTGATTGCATATTAAAATTCTCTCATCATTGAAGTTGAAATCAGTATATGAAAATGTAACCAAAGCAGTTTGTCAAGGTAAACACTCTATAGGTAATCACTTTTAAGTCTCATTTTTACTCAGAAAGCATGCAAATTCTTCAATTTAAAATGATAAAAGAATTTCTTGAAACTACAAAAGTATATTTGGAGGAAGTGTTAAGAAAGTTTGCATTTGATTTAATTCAGAAAAGATTAAAATTAATACACCAATATAACAAAAGGTTATCACCAACAATCTGATTAAATGTAGAAAGTGTGTTGACAGAGCAAGGGAAAGACAGAAAACTTACCTTCAGTCTTATCATACTGACACATCCTGACATACTGCAAGTATGTGCAGTGCCACCTTATCTTCCTAAATATACAATCTCTGTTAAAGTTGTAAATACGAGTGAGGTGCTATTCTTGGGAGAGGAAATACTCCAGAAAATTCCACTCCAATCTCCTAAATTAACTAAGTGAGGCTGGAAAAGATTACAGTGACTGTTATAGCCCCCTCGAAGGAGCCATAAACTTAAATACTGAAATTTACTGTATGACCCCATATGAATAAAACTACCAAAAATATTCCACATTTTCTAGTTTATACTTTTACATAAATCAGAATGCATGTAAATTAAACATGAATCAACAGGCAAATTACAGTTGGTGCAATCTATAAATTGCATAACAGCAAATACAATAAGGAGTATTTTAAGAGTTTCTGAGCATACTTTGTATTCCCAGCATAAATGTGATGCTAAATGTGATCGTACAGTTCCAACTCTGGAACTTAGGAGCTTTCACTTTTCCTCCTCATTGGATTTTGTCATCAAGTCACCTTCATGGTAGCTCCACTATATACAAGTCCTGCAGAGGTAGTCAAATGTTACACTCCTGTAGTACCTCCTTAACTCAGTTTACAACAGTTTTGATGTCACAGATTTCTCAGATATTTATTTATCTGACTTCCTTAATGAATTTCATTAAACAGTCTGGTCAACTCTGGCAAAACTGAAGGACAATTGTAAAATTATTCCATTTGAAATCTGTGCTGTAAACATGTCTTCAGTTTTATGTCCTGTTTTAACCATTTTACACATACAGATCTTTGAAAATGTTACTTTTCTGTTCTTCCATTGTTGCAATTCTTCCACATGGTTTCTGCATTTCAACTTCCTTCTTGATAGTTCTGCTTCCAGGTCAAGGACCACCAGGTCACATGGGCTAGTATTTTTTCTAATTCAAAGCAAAAGAACCACTTTGACCTGGATGGTGTCTAGCTTCTACAGGGTTGTCAGAACTGCATTCATCCAAGCAAGTGGGAAGTATTGCATCACAGTCCTGACGGTTGCCTTGTAGATGGTGGGCAGACTTTGAGGAATCAGGAGGTGAGTTTCTTGCTGCAGGATTCCTAACCTCTGACCAGTCACTGTATTTATATGGCTAGTCCAGTTCAGTTTCTGGCCAATGGTAACCCCCAGGGTGTTGATGGTAGGGGATTCAGTAATGATAATGCCATTGAATATCAAGGAGTAGTGTTTAGACAGCCTCTTATTCGAGATGGTCATTGCCTGGCATTTTTGTGGCAAAAATGTTACTTGCCACTTTTCAGCCTAAGCCTAGATATTGTCGAGACCTTGCTGCATTTGGACATGGTCTGTTTCAGTATCTGAGGGGTCATGAACGGTGTTGAAAATTGTGCAATCAATTGCAAACATCCCCATTTCTGACCTAATGATGGAGGGAAGGTCATTGATGTAGTAGCTGAAGATGGTTGGGCCTAGGATACTATCCTCAGGAACTCCTGCAGAGTTCTATTGGTCCTGAGATATCTAACCTCCAACAGCCAAAACTATCTTCTTTTGTGCCATATATAACTCCAACCAGTGGAGAATTTCCCTCCTGATTCTCATTAACTCCAGTTTTGCTGTGGCTAATGTGAAAGTATAAATATACCCCTCAAAATAATCCAGTAAATACTGTTATGAGCCCAGCTGTTGCCACAAAACATATCAAAATTCAGCTTGATAGACAATATTTGTTTTTTTTTAATTTTATTGAGATGGTCTTTCACTGAAACATAAGCAAGTAATGTAGCAGGTTTGGTTGAACAATAGAAAAAGTATATTATGCAAATGAAATGAAGAAAACAATAGAATAAATCAAACTATTTCCATGTAACACATATTTAAAGATTTTGAAGTGCATGGTAAAATATAATCTCATTAATCCTCATAGCACTCTTTTACTGTTTTTACACTATAGTTAGTTCCCTTCTCCATCTTATCTACATGGCTTAATTCAATTGATGTTTCAATTCCCAGTCTTGAAAATATGGTAATCTCTTCCTTGATAACTGGGCTTAAACTTTCTCAGCTTCAAATAACTGCCTTTAGGTTTTAGCCAAACACTACTGGTCTGGAATTTTCAAACTGAACTCCTTACTAAGGGAACCTTTTTAAAAGTATTTCTAAAGCTATTTCCTTTCTATGCAAGAAACTTTCACACATCTAGCTTCAACCAGCACATCTTAAAACTTGAAAGCAAAAACCTCCTCCTATCTATGGGTGTTTCCCCAAAGCCAACAAAAACACAATTTCAAATCCTTCTAAATGAAACCTAAGGCACTACACTGTTTATTTAAATTGCTCAGAAAAACTTTCCCAATGTAAACAAGATCTGATTAGCCTCCAAGAGCTATCTCTCTCGTAATGTTATTTTTAAACAAACCTTTCAGAAAGCCTTACAATTTAATAAACACTTTCAGTTAAACAGACCAAAATTGACATTCTACTTGTTCAAAATCCAAACTCTCAAATAAAAGCTATTAAAATATAAATAAATCATCACCTTACATCACAACACATACCAGGCAAAGGAATAGGAAAGATTTCTCTCTGCAGCGATTCACTTTAAAATACTTTCGACTCAGGATGATGAGTTCTGGAAAGCAAAAAGGATAAGATTTGAGATGTTCAGATGGATTTGAGTCAGAGGTTCTGGCGCACAAATATGGTTATCACTGAACACGTGCAGTTGGTGCTGGGAAACTTTGCAGACAGTCATTCAGAAAAATTGGCAAACGCTGCACAGGCTTGTCATGTGAGAGCAGCCGAACTGGGTCTCCAGGTAACACACTGCTCACGCAACCAGAGTTATTTGCTTCAGAAACGAGAGCTGAGCTCGGAGGCTTCTTTCTTTCAGCAGGCTTGTCACCGACTCAAAATCCAAACTACTGCAAGCTCTGTCGAGTCTCAAAAACAGTGTTCCAGCGGGCAAGACCAATAAATATCTTGAACCATGTAGATTTCACGTTAAAAAGAATTCCAATATGGCTTTTCATTAGCTTTCTTTTAAAAAAATACATCTCCACAGGACTTGAATCCACTTTTAAACGTCCCCTCAAACCTTAAGTCCTCAAAAAATGTATTTTCGCGGTAACAGAAGCTGCTCTCCTAAGAATGAGGTGGAGTTCCATTGTTCCATTAATCAGAGGCAGAGTGGAACATACTGTAATTAATAAGCTCACTTGAAGCTACCATTAGAATCAGATAGTGTGGGACCCATAGGATTCAACTGGTTGCTCCTGTGAAGATCAGCTTTAATAGAATGGGAGAAGCGTTGTTCTGCACGTGGTTTATATTATTCGCAGCTTGTGAATGCTGTAGTTACTCATACACGTATTCTCAAATCCTTCCCTCATTTTGAAAAGCACATGGATTGATCACATTTAGCAACTGGAAACCTTACGTATCGATGTTGATAAAACATTCTCTACATCCGCAGAGGAATAACTTGAGTACAGAATTGAACCAACGTGCGGGCGGGGAACGGAGTGGCAGGGAATAGAGTGAAGTGGACTGCAAATTGAATTTTACGTTTTTGACGAATGGAATACATCAAAGAAGACCACTTAAAAGGAGAGAATCGTCACGCACTGCCCATAAAAGCGTTTTATGGTAAAGTGCGTTGTGTTGAGCAGGCGCTAGGACCGAGCGCTCTTGCTGTGTAGCCAGTGAGAAGGTTGTGTCTGTATCTGTTGCCAGGATCAGAGCAAAAGCGACAGGGCAGCATCAGGCTGGCTCAGGGCAACTGGGGAAGGACACACATCCGCCACCACACTCTCTTGTCTTCTCTGGAGTTGTGTTAGCACACAGCATTTTGGTTCATAGGGAACAAACAAAGTTCCGAACAGCATTACAGAAAGCTCCGTGTGCAGCAGATTTCTCTGGCTGTCAGGAAGGATGAGGAGATGGGTTTGGGGAGATGGCCGGAGCTGAGCCCTTTTACAGTCATGTGGAGGAGGCGCTGGGGCTGTGGGCTCTGCCTGTCGCTGTTGCTGCTAGCCCTACTGCTGCTGTTGCCGAATGGCCAACCGCCCCAGCAAGCCGAGCCTTCCACTAACCGCTACACACCGCAACACCAGGACAGGCACCTCACACCGCAACACTCCCCCCTCGAACTCATCCCTTTCGACTCCTTCAGCGCCGACCAGTTCATCGTAGTGACTGAGAGAGCTGCCCGGACTCGAAGGAGGGCTTACCGGCTGCTAGGAGCCGCTAAAAGGGGCCAGGAAGCCGGGGAGAGCACCAGACTGCTGCTGCTTGACCCCCCTCCCCCGGCTGACCAAAGGCAACTCGAGCTCCAGGGACTGGAGAGGAGCGGCTTCAACGAAGTGGTTAGCGAGAGGATCTCCCTGCACCGGAGCCTACCTGAGGTACGCCACCCTTTGTAAGTACAGGAGGAGCTGCTGCTCATACCCGGGTGTCCCACTGCCCCCC